CTTTCACTTCAGCCAAGAGCTGGCCTCACAAAGGCCAGCTCCAACAACATCCTTTAACTTTGGTTTCTTGGTAAGGGTCATTTGAGTTTGGGCATTTCACTTTGCAACATCATGTGGACCATTTTGCCTTGTGCTGAGCCATCAACAGGGCACTCTGCAAAATGGAAAATGGACAGCTATTCCTAAAAGTATAACCCCGTGAAGGTTGCTGAGGGAAAGTGGGTTTCAGTCTCAGGTGATATGAATGTTTTTGTTACTGGCAGGTATCCAGGTTGTAGCCATATTGCTCTAGAAGCAAAAGGAATTAGAACTCATGGTAGAGGTGATATCTTTTATTAAACCAACTAGATTTTTGCAAAAACAAATTATTTAATTGCAAGCTTTCAGGCACAAGCACCCTTCATCAGGCATAGGAAAAAAGATTGTAAAAGTTATCTTAGGTAGAAATGAAAGTTCATATTTCATAGGAGAGTGAAAGGTGTGGTAAAATCATTTTACAATATTTTCTCCTATGCCCGATGAAGGGTGCTTGTTCTTGTGCCTGAAAGCTTGCAGTGTGTGTGTGTGTGTGTGTGTGTGTGTGTGTATTTATTTATTTCCCCCAAAAAATCTATTTGGTCTAATAAAAGATATCATCTGTACCAAGAGTTCTTATTCTTTTTGTTACTGACAAGGGTTTCGTGCTTGGCCCTTGGGAGGGCCACACACTTGCACTTTTACCTTTTTTTTCAATATTTTTATAATACAGGTCTAAAAAGTCTCCTTCCTTCCTTCCTTTTGAGAGTTTTGGTTCTTTTTCATACCTCTGCTGGAACAGGAAACTGTTTCTTTTCAGGCAGCCAGGCTGGGATTCAAAGGTTACTGATAACAGCTATTCCTGTCATTGTGTGTGTGTGCTACAGAGCAGTTCCGTGGGCGTCAGCAGGGTTTGGAATAATTGTCTCTACTAATTAACTGGTTATCAAACAAGAACATTTCATTATGGTACAATTACTAGCTGCTTTGCTGAGACACAGAGGTGTCAAGATTACAACTCCAACATATGCTTCTTACAGCTCTGATTTTTTTCATAATCACTAACCATATTTGCTTCCCCCCTCACCACCCACCCACTCCCTTAATGACTAATGAGTCCTCCTGCTTTGAATAAGAAAAAGAAATCAGCAGGCATGGCAGGTTATAACAGAAAACATGCAAAATATTTTGAGGATCTTTAAATCTGATAAATGACTTTGAAATTAAAATCCCCAGGAAGAAATGTGATTTAATTAGAAAGTAACATGGTTCTGTCAATATTTAAATTAAAATTTTAAAAGGTCATAAATGCTGCTTCAAAGCTCCATTTGCATAGCGGGTTTTGAAGTAGTTCTTGTAGGACCTGCTATTCACATTTAAGACCTGCATTTTGAAAATGAAAAGCGGTGTTTTAGCCACATGATTCCTACTAAAGTTAATGGGTCAATTCCTTGCCCAATTCAAATCAATGGGGGTTCTGCCACTGACATTAGTTGTGCCAGGATTTCACTCAGGAAGTTAGGCCTATGCTATGAAAGGTTACTGTTTCTAAACAAGGTTACAAACAACTGTGTTAACATTCATGATACTGACTGTTTATTATCCCAAACACAGCAGGTCACTTAGCATAGTTGTTTGTAGGTATCTTCAGAAGTGGTAACATTTTGCCTTGGAGTCAAACACAACTCTTTGGAAGCTACATTAAATAATTTTCTGCTGGAGGGTTTCCACCATAACTTTCCTTTAATTTATTCAGCCCTAATGGTTCTAGTAGAGTAGGCTTGACAGCAGCTTCCCAGCAACACTCACCAAGAAATCTCTCCTCCTCCCAGATGTAAGAAGTGAGCCACATAGCTGGTTTGTGCAACAGTCTTAGAGGAGGATTTTTCAGGCACAGGGAAAGGCTCTCTGAATAGAATGTTCTGTGACTACTGCAGTCTCACGGAGCTGTTTTTTCCCTTACTGCCTTATGTTTCCATAAGAGTTCGATGCACTTCAGTATCAATTAAATTTAACATTAAGAACATAGGATATCAATGGCAATTCCTTCTAAGATGCCACCTGCAGGAAGAGGATGATTAGCTGTCAAAAGTGCATCTTTTTCCAGGAAATTACTGTTTGGAGTGTTACCCCAGTATGTGTTTCAAAAAGTTCAGAAGCAGGAGCAATGGGTTGTCTAGAGGTTGGTTCCACATTTTGCCTCAAAGCAGATTTTCTGTTTAGGGATGGCAACCTTGAGGCTTTACTAAGTGGATGGTACCTTCTATATTGCAGCACATATTTGATGCCCAAGTGTTGCTTTGCAGTGTCAGCCTAGAATATGATCACAAATTTAGTTCAACAGCAGGAGACCATTAACCTGTAACAAAGCTCTCTTCTATTATTATTGCTCCTTAATATGAGGACTCTGTGCTCAATTACCATTTAATAGATTGCTGTATCAACCACAATACACAGGAACTTTCCAAAGACAGAGGAAGGCACAGTTCCTGCCTCTCATTGCTCATATTAAAAAAGACAAAGGCAGCTGAAGCATGGGGGAAAGGGGCATAACACACAAGCTGAGTGTCTGCTGTGATCATTGGCACATAATTTATTAGTTATTTGTTTGTTTGTTTTCTAAGTTAAACACCCTAAATTCATCTCCCCCTCATTCTTGGGATTACTGCATTGATGCATTTTTGTGTGTGCAGAAGACAATACTATCCATTGTAAGTGAATACATTCCAACTATCATTTGAGCTGTGAGTATTTTTATTGCATCGTACACAATACAAGTAAATCCTGCTCCAGGTATTTTGCCACTGCACAAGAAAAAAAATGAACATGTTTATAAGACATAATTTTCCAGACATGATCATTATTATACTGACTAGGTACATGAGAATGGATATTTTATTGTCATTCAGGCATCAGATTTAATGCTGAAGTATATCTGCTATAAATATAACTGGTCAAACCTTGAAATTCCTGTCTTGGAAAATGTTAGCAGTTTGAAATATGATTTCATTCTGAATCTGAATAAATACAATATTTTCAAAATTTCTAGTTAAACAGAATTTGGGAAATATTTTGTTTTGGAAATTAGTATTTTAAGAATTATATGTCACAATGTTATTTTTTTTTCATTACAACACACAGAAGAAATACATTCATTTAAGAGGAAAAAAGATTAGACAAATCAATTAGTCCTTAATAGTAGCTGCCCTTAAAGTCTTTAAAAATAAAATCAAATACAAATGTTTAAAAATGCCAACAATTATTTTATGACATATTATGGTATGTCGTTAGAAGAAGTGTATTATATTTTACCACCAGCAGGCAACCCCTGCACTGAAGCACCCTTGTGACCCAGCCAGCCAGGGCAGCATCTACACGTGTGCTACTACAGAATTTTTTGCAAGTTCTTACAAGTACTCTCCTGCTGCTGTAGTTTACTCCAGCCTAATAGGGGCACACTTGTAGATGCTGAGACATTTACTGCACAGCTAATTAGTCTACTGTGCAATAACCATCTTGCACAGATGTGCCCAATGAGTAGCAGCTCATTGGTGATGCTGGTAGCCCAAACAGAGGTATACAAGGGAATTCTTGTATTTCTTTGCTCCCTTGGGTATGCACGCATCAGAGTTCAACATTGAACTCTTGTTCAGTTACATGATTTGACTCTAATGTATGATTTGACTCTAATACATCTAAATACACTGCAGAAAATAACTGAAAATCCTCACTAGACTTCAGGATATTTATTGTAAAGCATCGAGTGTTTTGTTTTGTTTTTCTGAGCAGAGATAAATGTAAGCAAATCAGTTCTAATTGAAATTATTTGATTTGATTTGATGAGAGCTTGGGGTTTTGATGGTGTGGGGGAAGGGTTGGCAGGTATTTAAATTTCATTACTCTCCTTCTCCGTGTGAACTTCTCTTCACTTTAAAGTATTTTTTCTCAATTGATCATTTTAATCTGTTCTGATTTAAGAGCTTTCTGTTCCATCAGGGAATTATCCTACTTTATCCAGCTGGTTTTGGTGCCACTTTTCCAAGTTTGCTTTCTTGCTTACTTGTTTTTCAGTGTTTTACTTTAAACCCAGTTCCTGGAATTGTGAGATCATGAAAAATCTCAACTTGTATGTGGCAAGGAAAAGTTTATATCTCCCAACATTCCACAGGAAAACTTGAAAATGTGAATTCTAATGGCTTCAAAACTAGGAGACAAAACCCCCTGAAATTCAGGATTTAGTGTGTTACAAGTTTAAGCCAGTCACGTGATCTGGAGGTACTTGGTTCATGATATATTTACTTTTTAAAATACCAGGCTCAGATTGTGTTCTCATTCACATCAGATATATCAGTATGGAGGGATTTCACTGATTTCACATCTTAAGTGCAGAATCTGCTTCCTCCTAGATGCATTTTTTTCCATGAAAGGTTTTCCCATGTGTTTCACGGGATCAACCAAAATCTCATTCATTTACATTGTTGCAGCTTGAAAGCACTTATGACTAGGAATCAGAGTGTGCTTCTTTCTCTGAAACAGAAGCTCTCTGACTGGGCAGTGAGGGAATTTGGAATCCTGTTGGGATTATATTTTTTAGTAGAGTCACTCTATTAATAGAGCTGTTCCTTTCTGGCAAATACCAGGACCATAGAACTGTCTCAACTTTCATGTTACTTGAGAAAGAAGCTGTCTTTTCAACCCAGCTAGCTACACTCTCAGCTGTCAAGGTGCTGCATATATATCTAGGTAGACACAGGAAGGCTTCAAATCCAGATCCTAACTTCCCTGAAATATGAGGCCATCCAAGTGGGCAAATTTCTCTTCTTCCCAAATTTGGTAACATAGTTTAAGCTTTATCCCTACTTGTTGTAACAAAAAATGTGGCTGAGTGGAGGTGTGGATGGTATATACAGTGGGTAAAATGTAGCAAAGTAAAACAGCACCCTATTTTTCTTTATTAATTATTATTCATTGTTTGGTTCTTTCAGGCATATAAGAGGAAAACAGAAGCAGCGAAGAAGGAGTATCTAAAGGCTCTGGCAGCCTACAGGGCCAGTTTGGTTTCCAAGGTAACAGACAATGTGCTTTATACATGAGTCTCTGTGGATGTGGCAATGATAAATTAGTTGCAACTCATGGAAATCTCTTGGGAGGAGCAAGTTTATAAGAAATACACTGTAACCGTGCTATCAAAACTAATATCAATGTTAACTACCTTCTGTAGGAGCTAAATGAAATGATCCACAGCACAGCTTGAGCATACACAATGCAGCCAGTTTTTTTTCCTTAACACATTGAAATAAAATCTTGTTTATTCTGGCACATTGAAATGTTTGAAGGCCAGGCTTCTGTGATATTTCCTGCAGCTGGATTGCTTTTTTTTAACCACACTGACTGCAAAATTTCATATGCAAGTTTAGATAGGTTTCCATTTTATCTTGATACCTCCATGAAATCACAGTAAAACTAAATTGTCTGCACTATGTTATCAATGCTCAAATTATTTGCACTCTGCTTCCACTTAGTATCCCAGCAATATGCTGACATGATACCCAGGAACTGGCCATGTACAGGCATTTGTTTCTTCTGGGCGAATCACTGCTCTTCTGGTAAAAAAAAATTACAATAGTACAGATGTTCACTTAGTTTCTCCTGGGGGAAATATACCCCCTCCAGGAGAAAGATCTTCCAGGTATCAACCTGGAAGATCTGTGTTGCACAAGAAACTCTCTCATAAGAATGAATGAATGTACACTCCCTCCCAGTGTGATCTTGAGTGGGGAGTGGTCCGAGAGGGCGCTGGAGCTCTAGTCCCTTCCCAGACTAGTCCAGAAGGGCACTGGAGCAGCTTTCAAAGCTCTCTGCTTGCTCCCCAGACTGGGGAAAATTTGCTAGACATGAATGTCTGTTCAAGGCCAGTGGGTCAAATCCGCACCTGGTGTGAAGTGGTGTAACACCACCCATAGTTTTATACCAGCAGAAGATCTGGGCCAGTACTTCTATAAATCTTTGACAGTTAGGTCCCTTCCAAGTTCCCAACAGGGGTTTCGTATGTATTCCAAGAAAGAAATTTGTAGGCCTCTCCATAGATTATAGAAGAGCCCCCATGGAACTGTGCAGAATATAAATAACCCTTCCCATCCCAAGCCCAGGGTCCCCCATCTCAACTGTTAGTGTCTCCTGGAATCTAACATGGATGCTGCATCCTCCCAGACATACTTGTATAATTCCCCACTACCACTGATCAGGCACTCAATATTTGCCATCAATAGTAAGAGGAAGAAATATCCATCTGTTAGGATTCAGTTCCTGAGAGGGAAGAAGGAAGTCATCCACAAACCTTCTACTCATCCCTGTGGAGATATGTGTATTCTCCACTTTCCACTCCTGGCTTTTCACTGCCATTCACTGCCTGCCATTCACCATGCATCTTCATTGGCAGGTGCCATATCACCGGTGGGGAGTAGTACATCGCTGCCAGTGAGGAGGAGAGAAGGTGCCTGATGACTATGACTGCCCTCCAGCAGCTGCTTTCTTACATCTCAGAGTCCTTCTGCTAGCTCTTGAGCCAGGAAGGCCAGTGAGCACTGCAGAGGTGATACTTATGGCCCTCAGAAGGGGCTCAAAGCTCTATAAGTAGATTTACCTTATTCCAGAGCTGTGCCTTCTAGCTATCACATTCACTGAGCCATGAAGGAAACCTGGCTGAGCCCAGCAGGCACAGAAGTGTCACACTGATCTGGCTCCACCTACACCAGTGTAAATGTACAGTCACAGCAGTTGCTTATCAGTTTGTACTTTGAAGTCACACTGTTGTCAGTGAATGCAGAATTGGACAGTAAGGAGTACCTGACTAGGTGGAAGAAAAAACAAAGCCTTTCTGTTCATTGACAGACCCACCCCTCCCCCACTCTTTCCAGCAGCACTTCCTGCATCTGCCCCAAACAGATTCAAACTGAGTTCAGGTTGGGCTCAGGCCAGTATCTGCTTTTGTGTTTCTTAGCCCAGTTCAGAATAGATAGCCTGCTGGGTGGATCCCTCGTGGGCTTCACCACTGTCTTGATATGTCTTGTTTATATTTGTTCCTTTAGCAGAGAAGATCTCTGGTGACTCTTCTCTGTAGTCTGCAAAATGGGTCGCATTTCTCCTTACCTTTCTCCCATATCCCTCTTTCCTCAATCCTTCTAAATACCCAGCATTTCTTTGCTCACCACCTGGCATTCCACAGCCTTCCTCATCTTTTTGTCTCCATTCCCTGACCTCTCTTTTCCCATCTCATCTCCATTAGGCAGGAATTTGCCTCCTGATAACCTAGGTTCCTGCTATAGTTCATGCTCTGGGGATGATCTGACATGTTGTTGAGGGGAGTCTTGACCTGGTGTCTCTGTTCTAGCTCAGAAGTGCCCCAAAATTCCTGGCATCCCTTTGAGATATGGCACTGTAGGGGGCTATCTATCCAGACTAGGGCACAACTTGTGTTTGGCAGTCCAACATGTCACAAAGCACTAGGGCTGTGCAAAGCTTTGGTAGCTGATTCAGTTCAGAGGAGATTTGGCCCAATTTGGGGACTGAATATGTGAATCCGAAATGAATCGGAAGACCAATTAAAAGTTCTGAATCAATCTGAAGCATCTAAATCGATTCAGAAAAGATTTGGCCACTTTGGGGATAGGGCCATAGACTAAGCAGGCAGCTGACACAGCTGCCTCCAGCTGGTAAGTGTGTTGTGGTGGGTGGAGTGGGGAGGGAAGGGGTGTGGGGGAGGAAGGGATTGGGGCTGGGGCTGGGACAAGCTGCCCAGCTGGGGTAGGGGGGGCGTGTTACTTGGGGAGAGGGGTGTGGAATGTGGGTGCGGCAGCGCTGGGAGCGGGGGCTCTTCCCTGCTGCCGCTTGCCCAGCTGGGGTGGCGGGGGGCAGGATGCAGGCACAGCTCATTCCAGGCAGAAGGGGGCAAGTGGCAGCAGGGAAGAGCCCCCACTCCCAGCACTAACATGCCTGCATCCCACACTCCCCACACTGCCTGGAAAGTGGCAGCAGGGAAGAGCCCCCGCTTTCAGCACTGATGTGGGTGCAGCAGTTCTGGGAGAGGGGGCTATGTCCTGCTGCCACCCAGAGCATGCTGTGCCATTGTGCCCTGCCCCCCCATGGCTCCCTCTGCCAGGGCAGAGGCAGACACAGCTGGAGGAGCTGCAGAAGAATCCTCCATGGCTGTCTTGCCTGGCCACATCCCCTGCCTGGCCCAGCCTCCCAGCACTTTATAAAAAAAAGGAAAAAAACGACACACTCACCAGCTCTGGCAGTGGTGATTGGGTCCTCTGGGCACTCATAGCAGGGCCCCCCCCCATGCAGCGTGGGTCAGTGAGGGGCAGCAGGGATTGCCCTCACTGTTTGGCACCCATGCTGCAGCTGCCCCATGGTTCTTGGCAGGGCACTGCACACTGTCTGGGAGCTGGGGGGCTCCACCTCTCAGCCAGAGCCTGGCACTGCTCAGCCTCAGCCACCTCAGCCTGCCAAGCCACACTGTACTGTGACAGCAGGCTTGGCACAGTATAGTGCCAAGCAGGGAGAGTGATTTGCACTGCTCTGCGCTGCACAGGGGGACTGTGCCATGAGTGCCCAGAGGCCCCAATTGCTGCTTCTGGAGCCGGTGACTGTGGAGCTTTTTTTTTTTTTTAATGCTGGGACTAGACTGGGGCCAGCCAGGTGGAGGATGGGATTGGGCAGGACAGCCATGGGAACTTCTCCCGTGGCTCCCCCCACCCAGGGAGAGGCAGGCACCCAGGGAGAGGAAAGCCTGCAGCTGCCCAATTGTGCCTGTCTCTCCCTGGCCAATCAGAATCACTGAATCTCTCCGAATCAGCGCCGAATCTTCCAAAGAAGATTCAGCCAACTCTATTCAAGACAGTGATCTGAATCTCCAAATCAAATCATTGTCCTCTGAATATGCCAAATCCAAATCCTAATTGAATACTTCCCTTTTCACACAGCCCTACAAAGCACACCCAGGTGCCTTCCTTCTTCTCTTTTGATATGGTCCAGGCATTGCAGAGAATTCTGGGCACAGTTTGAGATGATGGCTGTTGAAGAACCTCAAAATGGGGGCACTAGTGCAGAAAATGAAACCCCAGCAATTGCCAGATCATTGGATAATACGGAATGTGGCAGCAACATAAATACATAGTACCACAGTCATTAGTACCTTACAAATATCACAGGTTCTCTTGTGCCCTGCTGTCCCACTGACAAGTGCTGGGTCAGGCAGGGAGTGTTACAGACAGGTACCACCAGGCTCATGTGGACCATCATTGTAGTGGGAATTGTCACTGAGCCTGCTGTTCTGACCTCCCAACTTCCTTTCTGTTTGTTCTTCCCTCCAATAGATGTATGAAGGGTTTGAATTTAGGGGTGTTTTCTCAGGGATAAGTCAGCAGTTTAGACTGACATAGGAATCTGCAGTGCATTCAAGGAAAGGCAAAATGTGCTGTTTCCCCAAGCCAGGTTCCAAGTCAGCTGTGACCAAGTCACATGGACTCCAAAGCGTCCCTAGAAGTGCATTGTGCCTTCTGATGTACTTTGAGCTGAGTGATGACCTAAGTCAAGTGCACAGTAGGGATTTAACAGACAAACTTTCTGTGACTCCGTGGGACATTCAGAATGTTGGCTAGGGACATGAGTTAAGAACATTTTTCTTTTTGCGCAATGGTGTGTGGCTCCTAGGTGCTACAATGATACAAAAAATTGATAATAATTAATAAGAACAAAGGACAAAAGACATTGTGGCAGTGGGGAGAGAAAAGGAACCAACTAACAGGTTCTAATCAAAAGGCAGAGGTTACGAGGACTACTTAGGGACAAGTGCCACCCAGCTGAGGAAGATAAGGGCAAAACTTGAAAGCAGGTTGGGAAAGGAGGAGCAGAAAACCTAGTGGGGAGAAACAAGAGATAAGGACTGATGGAAAAGTTGTCAGGTTTGGATAAACACCCAGGTTTTATTGCTGGAATTCCACCTTTATATTTATTTCCTTGCTAGTTCATTGCCAACAGGGACTGCCTGTCCTCACGGGGTGTTCATTTTCCTTCTCTGTACATCTCTACTTTTGCTGATATTCCAGAAGCAAAGGCAGATCCATGTGCCTATGGCCCTTGTAAGCTAATGTCACAAATGCCTGTCAGACAGCTCTATAGACATGACAGTTCAGATATATGGCCAGCTGACATTATTCAGCTACTGCACGTGGCTTCAGCCAATGAGATCCAAACACCCTAAGCATTTGTATCAACTTTTGCAAAGAAATGGGAAGCACAGAGACAAATCACCAATAAGTGTTTCCCTTTAATATCAATCAGCCAGGGAGAAGCCCAACTCACTTCAAAACTGCAGAAGGAGTATCTAAATTAAGAAGTACCAGCTTTCAATCTCCTTTCTCTCTCTCTCCCATTCTCCCCTCCACCCCCGCCATCCATATCACAAGACTATGTCTAGCACTGCACCCCCAGTGCTGCTAGGAAGGGTCAGTCTTGAGCACTCCCCACTCCTCCCCACCATGTATCATCAGCAGGGAAGCAGGAGCTGTGGTTTTAAACTTGGTGCTGTTTTTGTCTCCCCACTGCTGATTGGCTGGGGGGCCCCAGCAGCCCTGCTGCTTGCTGCTGACAGCAGGGAAACAAAAATGGTTTCTAAGTTTAAAACCATGGCTTTTGCTTCCTTGCTGATGAGGAGCAAGCAACAAGTGGGGCCCCTGATTGGCAGGGGACCCTAAGCCTGGGCCCCACTAGGCCATGCATTAATCCGCCTATGCTTGTACACACCAAACCAAATAAATTGGCCAGTATATGGCAGTGGAACTACGTTTAGCAATCTCCTCTTCCCTCAAAAAGGGTGTCACCACAGAAAATATTATCTTTCTTTTGAGAACTGATATTAGCAAAGCCCTGGGAACCTATAAAACTTGTAAGGGTCTAACAGCCACTTGCATGACGCTGTGTCAAACTGAGACTTCAGTGATGCCAACTGCTAGTTGTGCAGTTCAATCTTTAATTTTACAAATAAACCCATATCACTTGAAATTGGATTTAATTACAGCTGAAGTAAACATGTGCTTCATGCTGTGGACTGAGTACTGAGGAGCCTTGCCTAATTCAGCCACACTTTAAAGATTAAGAGCTGTGGCAAAAAGGTCAAAAAGGAAGTAATCTAAACCCCTTTCATTTGTTTTAAGTGTTTTAAAAGATTCTTAACTACGCTGAATGTATTTAGTACTAGCTTGGCTGGATATTTTGATATTGGTATTCTGTTCATGCTACCTATAATGCAGTGCTGCAGCATCTCTGCATACAGCAAGGAAACAATAATCACTGTTGTGAGGTTATTTTATTTTTCAAGAGAGAGTTTCAATGGGTGACTTTCATATTTAAATAAACTAGGATATGAGAGCATTTATAGGCAACGAGATTTCCTTTTGCAAGTGTCTGCCTCAGAAACCTGCATATTGTACTGACAAAAACTATTGGCAGTTAGATTCATAGATTCATAGATGTTAGGGTCAGAAGGGACCTCAATAGATCATCGAGTATACTCAGAACTTGCAGTGTTCTTGTGAGCATAGAGTACTACCAGGAGCATTGGCAGTGAGGACACATTTATTCCATTTTCTTACATTGCCAGGATGCAGGGAGCATTGGCAGAATGCTCCATATAGAATATACACAATGAATAGCTCCATCTTAACCTCCAGCTAGGGGAGAAGCTTTATTGGTATTTCAGATAATAACAAAATGTAAACTTGATCTTAGCTGTCTCCCCAACATAGCTGTTGCTAGTAATTCCCTACATGACCTTCTCTTTTCCACTCTGGTTTCTACTCTCCCAAAGATACAGTTCAAACTCATTTATACCCTCATCAGTACTAACAAGACCCATCCAACTGTGCTAGTCATCAGTAGTTTTTTTGAAACTTTGTGTACCTGATTCTAAGATGCTGAGCTGCATTCCTTCACTGAGTCCTAGTCACTCCTGCCCTGTTGCATGTTGATGTGAGATAAAATAGTCATTTTATCTCACACAAGACTACCAGACTTTTAAAACCATCCCTAGAATGTCTGCACTTCCTGAGTACATGCACACGTGCAGGTCTGTGTGCATGTGTTTATGGGTTTGATCATCGATCCTTTGGGGTTGATAGCAAAACTTCAATGTGTGGTGGAAAATCCTGCATGCATATTTTTGTGTGTGTACATGTATGTATAAGGGCTTTTTTCCTCCCAGCCCAACTTCTTCTCCTTGGTCCAACAGCAGAGTCCTAATCCTTGGCACCATCTGCACAGTAGCTTTCAATAGTAGGCAAGCCAGGTAAGAACAGCCAAAAAAGATGAAACAAACGTGAATGGACATAAGAAGTCTGATGTAGTTAAAAATTCTACCTAGCTTAAGAGTCCCTCTCTAAAACATGTCTAGAGAAACTCCAAGGGTCTTGCATTGAAATGATAATATGTAGTGAACTAACCAACTTAACAAATGAAGACACTTGATCACCAGCAGGGTTTGCTTAGAACAGAGTGCTTTCTGGGGTAAAGACAGAATTTGGAGGTGCTGCTTCATTTCTGTGTCTGAGGTATGAGGTGCCAGTGTTGTGGCTGTGCTACTTGAATCTGAGAAATACAGAAGCAGATATGAGAAGACAGTAGGGGAGAGATGGGTGCTTAGTCCCTTTGAGTACATTCTTCTTTAATGAACACCATCAGTCTTCTCACCTGGCACTCCGAATTCATCACTGATGGAACCACTGTGTATATGCAGAAATACTCACTGGAAATATCCCCAGAGTTTTATCCATCTCCAGTACAGAGTTTCTGTAGCCAGGCATAAAGCCTTGGGCAGCAGGAATGAGGGGAAAAAGATATGTCTCAGGAACAGGAAATGAATGTGGGAAAAGAAGGATGAAAAGAATGGAAAAGAATCACTGCTCTTCACAAGGGAACCAAATCTACTGCTGTTACTACTTTGATGCCTTTGCAGAGAGGTTTTGTGAAAATGTAAGAGGGGAGAAGAATTTTTTCTTATTGTCAGTCTCTCCAAAAAACAGTTCTTTGTACAGTAGTGCTGTTGGGAATAAAAATAAGAACAGGGAGTGTGCCCTCATTGCAGGAGGAAAAAGACCAGCCGTTCCATTATAGAGCCCTCAACATGAACAATCCTGGTTGCTTAAGCCTGAGAATATCCTGGTTATTCCTTTTTTCCAGAGTTGAGGATGTTATTGTATTGTGCATTATAAAACCCTATCAGGATTCTGGGAATGCACAAGATTAAAGAAGCAAAATTTTACAATCTTATTTATTTTTTTTATTGGAAAAGAAAGTGATTCTAATCATACATTTCTCTGAGCTTAAAAACAAACTGCAGTCAAGCAGCAGTTTCTGAGTTGTTCAAAGCCTTAGTTGTGCTCCAGGCTGTGTTGAAGCCAGTATTGAGTTACTGGGCTGTATTTTTCCCTTCTTTGGAAACTGCTTTTACATAACAGGGCATAGGCAGTATACACACATAAGCTGACTAGGTCTACTGTTTTGACAGGAAAAGATGTTGCCTTTGCATCTTCATATGTACCCAACATGAGGAATAAAAAGTTACAACAAGGGGTATGAAACAGAAAAACAAACTATTAGTGACCTGTTGAAAGCAGTGGGTAAGGATGCCAGTCTGTGCATGGAAAGGAGTAGGTTATATTGTGTGAGAAATAATGTAAAATGAAAGAAAAGGAATCTGGGAAATAAAAGGACTTCACTGGAACATTTCAGGGGTGAAGAGGAATATAGGGAGAGCAGTGCAGACTTTCCTTATTTAAATAATTGTATCTTTCCTTTCTCTGATAAGCATCATCTTCAGTGTGATTGAGAGGGTTGGGGATATGAGCAGAGGTGGATAACATGTTCATCATTTAAGGAACATTTTTTTTCATTTGACATTTCTTCCATTTTCTCACAGAGCTCTGCCGATCAGGGTGAGACGAAAAGTGCCCAAACCAATCAACCTTCCAAAATGATACCACCAAAACAGCCCATGTATACTATGCCACCCCAGGCCTCATCACCTTATCCTGGTTTAGGCTCATTCCTGTCCCCATCAGATCTTCAGAGTTACCGTGGACATCCTCATCCCAGCCTCTCCAGAACCCTTAATTCCAAACCCATGTTGCCTAGCATCAGTGCCTCGCCACCTCCTTCTTTCCAGATCAGTCCTCCTCTCCATCAGCAACTGTCTTTGCATCACCCACAGAGCTCCATCCTCAATCAATCACTCAACATGCAGCAGGTCCCACAGCAATCCATCTTGTCTCCTTCCATGGCACTACAGGTACAGCCCCCAATGAGCTCTTCACCTCCAGGGCAGCAGGTAAGTACTCTGGGTCCTGAGAACTGGTTTGAAAAGGAGCATAGTTTCAATACTAGATGTTCCATGCAGGGGTGACTGGTGCCTCCCACAGCTGGTGGGGGGGCACAATTTGTGGGTGAGCCCGGGGGTGGGCCAAAAGCCCCATATGACCAGAAGAGGCCAGCCTGGCAAACTGTGGACCACCATGCAGAGTCCTGCAGCTGGAATTTCTGGCCAGAAAATAGGTAAAGCTACCTCCATCCCCCAGGCAGGAGGGTGGGCCCAAACCTCAAATGCGGCTGCTGCAGGCACTGCAGGAGGAGCTGCGTCCTCTCCACCTGGCTCTACATGTCCACGGTCACTTCCAGTCTGGGGGTTGGCTTAGATACCCCTCGTAATGTGAGGCCCTAAGCTGCAGATTTCTTAGCTTGTGCCTAAATCCAGCACTGCCTATACTTCTATGCCAATCTCAGGGTGGGGAATGTGCCCCCCTGCCAGTCGCCTGTGGTTCCGTGTATCAGAACCTACACACTTGGTTTAAGTTTCTCTTGGTCCCCCTGGAGCCCGTTACCACCTATGATTTTCCAAGACATGACTGTGCTAATCTTGGTATTTGAGGCAACAACTCTGTGACCTATTGTAAATGGCTTTAGCCATGAAAAATTTCATATGAAGAGTTATTCCTTATTTAAAGGCTGCTTACTCTAAGATGCACAGACTGTTCTTTGCAATGCCCAGCCTCAGCCAGCTGGCCCACGTGCAGAGGAGTTGGTCATGGGTTTCAGACAAAGGGGTTCTCTTTCAAATTTGATAGGAAGGGAATTAAAATGGGAGGGGAAATGGGCTTTTTGATCAATGGAGTAAAGCACTTCCCATGCTCTGAAGAGGGAATTTCTTTATGGGCAGGGTGATCTACAGAACTTTTCCATCTCTAACTTCTTGAGTTCTCAGATTATGCCAGCATGAGATAAGTCAGGTGAACTATTCATAGTAAAGGACTTAGGCTATACATTTCACAGCTGAAATGCAATGAATTTGCCAAATATTCTGACTGCTTTAGTCACCCAATGGTTGAACAATTTTTTGCATCATATATTTGCTTAAATGGGTTTAATGAATACAGCTTTTCATCTATTAATTGATTCAGTCTGTTCATGCCCAGCCTTGCAGAAATGTAAACTGTTTACTTTAACATACAGAGCAGTGGGAAAAATACAATGTGAAAAAGATCAAAGTAGCAAATATATCCCTGAGCTATTAAAAGCTGCATTGAACACAGCTGTATCCTGAAACAGAAGCCAGAATCTGGAATACTTTAAGAGTCTGATAAAACAATAATATTGTCATGGCATGGTCATATCTAAATCAGAATGACTGCTGATATGACGTTTGCACTTACTCAAATCCAATAGTGTATATTATAGGAGATCACATCATGATTATTTAAAGTGGAGATATTAGTCAATGTTGGGGACAGATTGTTTGGAAGCTTAATTACAAATATTTTGTTAGCAAAAAAATAGCATACTAAAACACTTCATAATGAATGATTTGGAGAAAACTACATTCTCAGTCAATTAGGTGCCTGGATTCCACTGTTAATGTATGTTGCTAATTAGGTCACACATGCAAACAGTAGCATGATGCTTTGTCATATAATATGGTTTCCCACAGCCCCTGATAAATTGGAAGCAGTAACAGCTGATGGAGAGAATATTGCTTGTGTGGATTTTCTTTACCTTGTTACTGTACATTATGATGGGCTAATGCATTACCGCAAAGAGAGCTATACTTGAAGTGGAAAAAATGGCTTTGATTGCCAGAATGCTGAAGCAAAGGCTTTTGGTACTTTTAATATTCTATAGCCATTTACCAAGGCTCTTCTTTAAAAATAAGGGAGAGAAAGAGAGATGTGAAGCAGTTTGGCTGTATTGGGTACTTTGTGTTCTACATTCTACAACAGTTCAGCTACAGTCCTTATTCAGATATTAAGTACATATTAAGCATGTGCTTAAGTTCCATGGATTCTAGCAATACTATACAAATGCTTAAGAGCTCTGCTCTCCATTTGTTTTACAGCTCTCTGGATAGCATATTTGAACTTGTTTACAACAAATTTGTAATTCCTGTTTTCCTTCTCTTTTTTTTCTTGGTTCCTTTCCCCCACAGGACTTTTCACACATTCCACCTGAGTTTCAAAACAGTGTCAGACCTCGATCACCTGGTGCATCAAACCCCGCAGGAAATAGTGACTGGGAAAGTGATTACCCAAGCAGAGAGTGTGGAATTAACCACTGCAGGTCAGTAGACAAAATAGGGTGCTATTACCTTACTTAGGGAGCTATATGAACTGTAAACATCCACCAGGTTACAATTGAAGTAAAAGAATGGAAAATGATAAAGACATGAAAATACCATGTTCCAAAAAAATGCAATTGCTTATAACATTATCATGCCATACTTATTTAGTAAACTTCCAGGAATGTGAGCTGCCTTGTCTCCTGGACAATCACTAGAGCCTTAGAACTAAAAAGGATGATACAATTGAGGACTGACTCTATTTAACTTTAGCTGACTTTCATTCCTAAAATGTGGAAACAATTTCTAGTGCATTTTTCATCTCCTCTAAGCAAAGTTTTAAACAGGAATTTTTGATGTACAAACTCCAAAAGGGACAGATCCTTAGCTGGTGTGAACTGTTGGAGTACTAGTAGTTTGTACCTGCTGACAGTCTACCCAAACTGCTAATTAGGTAAAAGAAGCAGCAAAACTGTTCCTCCTGTGCAGGCTGTTGTCAGCCAGGCGGCATAAGCAGATGCTTTGAAAACAGTTTTTTTCCACACTGTATACATTTTTGTTTTCATTTGTCAAGTAAATGAACAATAATAGCAAGTGTGCTTCTAGAGCAGGACAGAGCAGCCATCTGTGTCCCTGCCTTGTGCACTGGAAACATGAGACATGTTAACACATGTTAGCAAGTTTTATCTATCTCCAGCAAGTGCAGGTCAACCAAAGGGGGCTGCTTACTGTAACCAGAGGATGGCTGGTTTGTAGGGGTATGTGAAGTGGGCCCTATTCAATTCGGCCCAAATTGGGGACAGTGATTTGATTCGTTGATTTGGATCGCTGTCCCTGATTCAATTCAACCGAATCCAAAACTGAAGACTTGATGCTGATTCAGAGAACACAGACACAGCTTAAAATTTTTTTTTTACATACCTTAAGGTACCCACACAGCTCATGAATGCTGCAATGCTGGGGCAGATGGAGTATCCCACAGGACCACAGAGGTCCTCCCCCACATGTTCAGCAGTGAACCCAGAAAGGGACCGGAAGTACTTCCAGTCCATTTCTGGGTCTGCTGGGGAGCGTGCTGGGGGCCCCCCTTTGCCCCCCCAGCTCGGCGATCAGCCATGGGGGAACCCCAGGTGCTGCCCTGCCAGACCCAGGAGACATGAATCGCTGAGCTGGGGGCATGGGGGGGCCCCCTAGCACACTCCCTGGCAGACCCAGAAGTGGACCAGAAGTGCTTCTTGTCCACTTCTGGGTCTGCTTCTGAGTGTGCTGGGGAGACCCCCATGCTTCTGTGGGACACTCCACGTACCCCAGCATTTCTGCATTCATGAGCTGCCAGCTACCTAGAGGTATGTTGAAAAAACATTTAAAGCTGTGTCTATGTCCAAATTGCCAAATCTTTCCGAATCTCTCCAAATTGATTCAGAGGGTTCCAATTCGATTTGGAGAGATTAAAGGGTCCTCTGATTCAATTAGGATTCAGAGATTCGGCCACTGAATCAGGCCGAATTTCTGCTGAATTGAATCAGGGACTGAAGCTTCACCCAGCCCTACTGGTTTGTAGCCCCATACCCTTCCGAAAACCAGATTTTACTTTTGCCTAGATAACTTCTGTGTTTTATAGGTATTCAGATTTCCAGGGCCTTACACAGAGATCTTTGACTTTAGTAGGAGCTGTGGTATCGCCATATTATTTATGCATATGATAAAGAACTACAGAAGAACTCAAGTTAACAGTAGTAGTAGTAATAGTAGGTCCCTTATCATTTCTGTTGTAGGGCTAATCACTAGAGGGCAGCATGTATTATATACACATGCAAAGGACATTACAGGTTTTTCTCATCTCTCAGGAGGAGACCCATAAATAATACAAGACTAGAGAGAGCTTTTTCCCATTACACCTTAAGAACTCTAATATTGACAACATGTCAATGAGAAGTTCAATTTGGTGACATTTGAACTCTAAGGGGAAAAGAAACTAAAGCTCTGGAAGGCTCTTTGTTCCCCAAATTGATAGTGTGTGGTGGTGGTAAAGCCACTCTTGCTACTGGTTAACCCACTCTTGCTACTGGTTAATCCACTGCTTTTGACAATAAAATGCAGTGGTGAGCAGTTTCCAAGCCATTATGGGTGCTTGTGCACGTAATCAGCATTTACTTGCTAAAAATGTTCCTGGTTTAATTTTCCTTTCTTAGTTTATGATGACTAATTCAGTAACGTGGACGTGATTTACCATGTAATGGTTTATTATGCTATAACTAGTAAAAAGAGCTGAACAATGCATGTCAGAACAATTTTACCTTCCTGCCCTTTCAGTACTACTGTACTGCCAGGTAGCATTTTAGGACAAGATTTGATATTTTGGTCGGTTTATTTTCTTGGGTTGTGCCAGGTTGCTTTTTTGCGAGGAATTTTTGGTGGCTTTGCTTGAAAGCCACAAGTTGTTGGGGGGTTTTTTGGCAGGGGGGAGTTCAATAAGCAGTGCTGCCCACCTCCCATGCAAAGCCTCCTGCATTTTTCTGGGCACTTGTTGCTTGTTGCATGGGGTGCTGCTGGTTAGGGCAGAAAATCTTTTCATGCAAAGGTCTGCAAAAGTGAGCCTGCCTGCCTCCCCTTCACAAGTCTGGATTGGCATTGTGAATCTGTACAGAAGGCCTCTCAAAGGGGCTGCCCCCCTGCCCAAACCTGGTCCTGAAACAGTTTTACCACCACCACCACCCCCGGCTTTTTCTGCACACTTGTTGCACCAGGTGCTGTGTGTGGGGGTACACTTAGGGCTATACAAGGGTACACAAAGGGTCTGAGCTGGAGAAATGCCTGCTCCATCTCAGGTGTATAGCTGATCTTGCCTGGGGATGCATCCTTAGTTAGTTCTGACAATGGCGCGGTCATGAGAACCTGGGTACCAGGCGCTGACAGTAGCTGGTGAGTCCCAAGAAGCGCATTTTTTTTTTTTTGTCCGTGGCCTTGGGTTACTCCTGTAGGGCTTGCACCTTATCTGCCAGTGGCTGAATTCACCCTCCTCCTGTGGAAACTCCTAAGTACTAGGTCTCTTTTTGCCCTAGGGCACATTTCCTTGGATTAGCCATTAGCCCCTCAGACTGTAGATCCTGGAGTATAACCTTATGGTGTCTTAGGTATTCCTCCCAGGACTGTGAATAAACTACCACATCATCTATGTAGGCCATCACATAGCCTTAGTGTGGAGCTAACACCTTACCCATCAGTCTTTGGATCATTGTGGCTGCCCCATGTAGCCCAAAGGGCACGCACATGAATTCATATAAACCCCAAGGGATGGCAAATGCAGTTTTCTCCCGGGAGTGTTCTTCCATAGGTATTTGCCAGTAACCTTTTGACAGATTGAGAGTGGATATGAAGCATGCTCCCCCCCGCCATTTTCTCCAGTAGATCCTCCAAGGCATAGGGTACACATCAAAGCAGGCCATATGATTAACACTGTGGAAATCAATGCAGAGGTGTATGGTCTGATTCTTTTTGGGGACCATGCCAGTAGGATTGAGCCATTCACTCCATGATTCCCTAATGACCCCATCGGCTAGCATCTGCTCTACCTCTGCCCAAGTTTTTGCGGGATCCTTTGCCGTCCTTCTTGGACCACCTGCTGTGCTAGTGGTGTCTGTATCTGTGCTCGATTAAGGTGGTCTTCCCTGGGCAAGTTGTGAACACCTCCAAGAAAGACATCATTAACTGCATTAACTGCCACTGCTGGAGTGCAGTTAACTGTTGTCCCTGCTGTATGGTCTCTGGATCACCTCTCTCAGCCACATCTGACCTAAACTCCTGCTGCTGTGGGCCTATGGCAATAAAGAGGGCTTCTCTATCGACCCATCTTTTCAGCAGATTTACCTGATAAATTTGACCAGTTTTCCACCTGCCTGGCTGCCATACCTCATAGTCTACCAGGCCAACTCTGTGGGTTATTTCATATGGTCCTTGCCACTGGGCCAGGAATTTAGATGTCTCATCTAGCAACAAAACCAACACCTGGTCACCTTTGTCAAACCACCTGTCACGTGCCCTGAGGTCATAACCGGCTGCCTATTGCTTTTGGGCCATTCATAGGTTTTCCTTGGCCATAGACCAGGCCACCTTCAATCTTTCCCTCAACTGTAAGACATGGGCCATCGTATTGCAGGCAGATCCTTATTGTCCTTCCCATCCCTCCTTAACCAAGTCAAACAACCCCCACAGGCAGTGACCGTACAGCAGCTCAAAGGGGGAAAATAGATTCATAGACATTATGGCTGGAAGGGACCTCAGAAGATCATAGAGTCCAGCCCCCTTTCCCAGGGACAGGAAGTCAGCTAGGGTCACAGGATCCCAGCAAGATAAACATCCAATTGACTCTTAAAGGAGTCCAGAGTAGGTGCTTGCACCATCTCTGGCAGCAGTCTATTCCAGGCCTTGGGGGGCTCGGACTGTAAAGAGGTTCTTCCTTATGTCCAGCGTGAAACAGTCTTGGAGAAGTTTGTGACCATTTGACCTTGTTATCCCGTGGGGCTCTCTGGTGAACAGGCATTCCCAGATCCTGATATACACTCCTTATATACTTATAGGCAGCCACCAGGTCCCCCCTGAGCCTGTGATTTTCCAGGCTGAAGAGTCCCATAGCTTTCAGCCTCTCATCATAAGGCCTGTTTTCCTAGAAGATGTGTTACTTGATTATCTTCCAGGTGCAATCCTTGACACACTCTACTCATTATATTTTTGGCAGTTCAGTCAAGTCTGCTCACCTTCCAGGAAGGGGGAACCTAGTTAAATGCTGAGACCTTGTTAAAGTAAGGATGGGAGGGAGTGAAGTGGGGGACGGAGGCCTGCTAAAAGCTGAAGCTTCATTAGGTCAGAGTTTTGCTGGTCCTTTAGCAAGACAGTGTCCATCTTGCTAGTGCATGCAGCAAAGTATTCTGCTTAAATATAAGCTGTTTGCCA